GTGTTCCACTACAGCATTAACAATAACGCAAATTCAAAAAATCATAAAAGAGAAACACAATGAAATAGAAAGGAATTTTCTTACCATTATGAAGTACTCGAGCTGTAGAGAAAGAACAGAAATGAAGAAGAAGAGGACGTAAATAATAGAGAAAGCCTTCATATTTTGGAAATCAATTAGACTGATTCGTTCTCAACTAGTCCTCACTTCGCACACTTTTTTCTTATTTATATTTGAATAAACTTTTGCATGTCTCCTATGAAACCATTATGATTGAGTATAAGAGGGAGTAAGGTATAATAAAGCACAACTTTATTTATCTCTCACCTTTGTGACTTTGTTTGGTCATTGGTGCGACTATGTCAAAAGCATTGTCAATGCTTTTGATACTACGTTTATTACTTTTTCTTTTTTTATATTAAAAAATAAAAACAAAATGACAAAGCATTTGCTTCAACGATAAATATATATACATAATTAATGAAAAATAGCTTTATACTAATATCCTCTTATCATCTTTTAATTTAGTTTTTGACTTTATAGTTTTACTTGTATAAAATGCATTTCATTTCAATTATGGATGTAAATGGAAACCTAACCAATGATTGAATTTCAAGAAATTTATGAGTGCCTATTTTCTTAGAAATTTTTAAGTGAGAATAATTTTTAAAGTTTATCCTTAAAAAAGTTAGAGAATTTTAAAAAAATTTAAATATCAATTTTACTCATTTAAAAAAGATTACATTGGTTAAAATATTATAATAAGATTTGCTTCTCTTTTTTTTTTTTTTCACTGCATAATATTTCGGTTGAATATTATTAGAGACTATTTTACCCCATCAGCTAGTAAGGGTGAAGTACATGAATAAAGGTTATGCTGCATATACAAAGACAAAATAAACAAAAGACGACTTTGAAAATAAACAAAATAAAAAGTAATAGTCCTCAAGAAATTAAAATATAAAAAGAAACTAATTCATTTTCCTATTAATTATTGTTTGACAATATTGCAAACTCATTTTTCTTTTTCCACCATAAGTAGGGTTGTCATTTGCCACAAACTTGAGCAAACCGCCCTCGACGTGTTGCTGGTGGTGACACACCTATGTTACCGTCTTTTTAACAGTTGCTTGCTCCTCCTCCTTCTCCTTTGTAATAAAAATAGTTTGGTTTACCATTTCGCTTAACTGCAGCATCAACAAAGATAAACATTTTGTTTAAATTGTGTAAAGCAATGATAAAAATTATCAAATTAATTATCTTACCATTGTAGAATGTTAATTCTCGAGCAACAATTGAGAAAGGAAGGAAGAGAAAGAAAGCCAAGAGGATGTAAGCAATTACGAAAGACTTCATAACCAAAGTTTGATGGATGATTTATTTGGCGAGCTTTTCCTATTGCACTTCTATTCTATTTATAGTTGGCAGTTGAATGTAAAGGTTACGTAATTGATTAATTAATTAATTAATTAATTAAGGCTATTGGCATTTGGTATTGACCTGAAGTCCACGGTATTGGAAGATGATCAACTGTAGTTTGCCTTTGGTATTTGGAATTTTCTCTTCTCTTTCCTTCACATTTCTCCGTATACAAAAAGCAACTTTGTTTCTCACCTTTCGGGGGAAAAAACAAAAAAAGAAAAGACAACTCAAGTCAAGTCAAAAGTCATCGTAATTGCCCTCTCTCGGTACATTATCTTCTTTGGTACATATAGACATGTGAACACATTGACAAGTTTAGTTTAACTATAAAAAGTAAATATTCTCGTCTGATAGTTGAATAAATAATGTTTTGACGATCATCATCTATTTTTATGACTAGTGTTACATAGTGATATCATTCTTACAGGCTCATAATAAAAAATGCTCAATAGCTTGGTTATTGGATATATAACACGAATCATATAAAGATAAAAGAGTAATCCAAATACTTAAGATTCATCGTCCTGAATGGTTGAGTTAACATTTGATTAGTTATCTCGAGAAGAATTAACTAGTAAACTTTTTGACTAAAATAAAATCAAGTTTGATTAAATTCAAATTTTATTCAAAGAATTAATGGTTTTGAAATTCAAAAATTATTATGATTAGATGCATATAGAGTCGATACTAATTCACATTCTAGATTCAATAAAACAGAGTGATAAAGAGAATGAATTGTGTTGACAAACTAGACACAAATAAGTTGGTCAAATTTTATTGACTCTTCTTAATATTTGGTGGTTATGACATATTAATAAATGCCAATTTTGATTTATAAATATGAATTGATTAATTAGAGAATTAATGATGAATGCAAATGAGTTTGATTAATCTAATTATTCTTAAACAAGAATTATAGTAGTCATATTAAGAATCTAATGTGTCACACATAATAATAATAATAATAATAATAATAATAATAATAATAATAATAATAATAATAATTAGAGGAAAATCAAAATAGGAAAATCAAATTTGGCTATATTAAAATAAAGTTGAAAACTTTAGGATCTTAACTGAAATGGTTCAATAATAAAAAATGTTAATTAGTGAGGTTACAAAATATAATCCTATTTAGAATTGGATTACTGGAATTCTCCTCTGTACAAGTAATCTTGCCAAACCTCTTCTGAAAAAAAATTTAAATTTCATGTTCTTCAATCTAATGATTGGTTATAAGATTGTAATTTTTATTTAATTGTTTTAAATAAAATTATTAGAACTTGACTTAAAGAAATTTTATCTGCTTGTATTGTCCTTCTTTCTTAAGATTTAATGGACGTCCAATGAGGATCAGATCTAATTACAATCCAATGATTTTTATATATTGACTTGAGTCGCCTTGGTATGCAGTCTATAAAAATCTCCTCAAAGCTATCGGATATTATACAAGAAGTGATCAACTTAAATAATATATAATTAAAAATATATAATTATTGATTTCAAAAGATTTAAAAGATGAGATTGAAAAGTAAAAAATAAGAATAAATGTTTTAATTTTATCTTTTGAATATATTGAAATCAATAGTTAAAAAAATGTGTAAAATATTTTTAGTTTTACATTGTGTAAGTTGATCCCTCTTATTTATATAATATGGATTCACTTATGCTAAAACAAGAGTTACATAATTTTTTGATATTTGGATTAAAATTAAATCCATAACACTTAATCATTTTGATCCAATGATTCAAAAGAAAAAGTGTAACCCATACACTGTATAAGTAGATCCTCTCTCTCTCTCTTTCTCTCTCTCTCTCTATATATATATATGTGTGTGTGTGTGTGTGGAAGAGGCCAGATCCACTCTTACACTAACCTTTAAATAAAAATTAAATATGTTACTAAATTGGGTCAAAATAATATTTTTAATCTTAACCATTTTAATCAAAAAGTCAAAAAAGTACTTATACTAGTGTAACTAGTTCCTTCCAATATATATAGGTTTAATACCCAAAAAATATCATCATTTTTTTGTACAAAATGTATTTAAGCTCTCAACCTTTTATTGCATGCAAATAAGTTTACAATCTTTTATTTTACTGTAAATAAAACCTCGAACTTTTAAAACTATCTAATTATGTTTAATTTCGTTAAATGAAACTAACTATCGTTCGCATTGTACAATTGACATCCAATGTGCAAGATAACATGGACCGATGATATGTCATTTTGACTTAAAAAAATTAATATGCAAATTCGTCCTTAACCTTTTTGTAGAAAATAAATATAAGCCCTTGATCTTTTATTGTATTTTGATTCTTTTAAATTTTTTACATTTTTTATAAAATCAAAAGGCAAAAAAATGAAAAAAGAGAAAAAATTGGGAAAGAGATTAATTTTTTTTCATAAGTTAAAAAACTCTAAATTTCAAGTTTAGAGTTTATATCTAATTTCAAAAATTTTATATTTTTTTAATTTCAAAAATAAAAATTTTATTTCACTAATAAAAATGTTACAAAAAAACATTTGTTGATTTTTTCTAAAATAAAATTTTAACATAAAAATATCTTTTTAATATATTAACATTTATTTTTGTTTAAATTTGTTTATGTGAAATCTATCCACATTTTTAATTGATTTTTTTAAAAAATATTTCTTTTATTCTGTTTATTTTCTAATTTTAAATTTTAAATTAAAATTTTTGAAAAATTTGATTCTTAAATAACATTTTAATGTAAATTGTTTATTTATGAACAAATTTAATCCCTTTCTTTTGAATTTTTTTTTATAATTTTCTTTTATTTTTTCATTAAAAATTTCATTGAATTTTAAATGCATCAAGGTTGATGTAACACCTCATTTTTCATTTTTGTCAATTGATATCGATCTAAGTCATTGTAAATTCTTTTTCATTTTTATTTCATATTTATCATTTTTTAATTTTTATCTTATGGTCTACTTATGATTTTTTTTTCTATCTTCATTATCTGATTATTTAAAAAAAAAAAAAGATTGAGATTAAATTTAATGATGATCGAAAGGATAATTAGATGCTAATTTTTAGCATTTGATGACTAAGTGGAATTGAACTGAAACTCTATAAAAAAACAGCATGATTTTATAAATCAGGGGGATTCACAGTTTGAGGGAGAGGAGGAAAGATAGAAGAAGAATTCGAATAGGAGAGGAAAAAGGTGGAGTCAAAAGAGGTTCAGTCTTCTGTTAGCAAGGGGACCGCTTAGAGTAGTATCGAGAAGGCGTGAGTTGCTTTATGAAAGCTGGTAACGTACTCGCTAGGATTCTACTTGAAGTGGTACAGTCTGGGTGATTGCTATCTTCCTTCATTCGATCAAAGAATCCAACTTTCAAGGGTCAGATGAAGAGGCTGATTATCTAGTCTGAATGAACCTTGGTTCCATTTGAATCTGGCAATTGGTTGATCTCAGTCAAAGACTCGATTGTATTGAGGATCTTTAACCAAGAAAAAGATTCAGCCTTTCCCTTAATGCACCAGAAAGAAAAGAATAAAAATGAGGCACTTCCTTCAGCAAAGCAAGCCAAACCAAACCAAACGTAGAAGCAAAGGATCAAAAACCAACAGCTTTATCCAATAGCAGTTGAAGCTCGGCATATGAATCTTTTCCCAGCGCCTCAGTTAATCACCAACAGAGATTTTATTAAAACAAATCAAAGGAGTGGCAATATATACAATACCCAGATGGATTCTTGTGTTCCTTTGGTTGATACAATGCAAGAAGCTTCACAGCTTTTTCCATTATATCAATCCCTTGTTTGTGATCCAAATATTTCAGCCAAAACTTCAATCAATAAAGCTAATAGTGGCCTTACCTACAACATGAATATCCTGGCTTCAGCTTCAAGAAAAAGGCTTAGAGATTCATTCACCAATGGCTTTGATTCATACTCAGTTGCTCAAAAGAACAATATTTTTGATGTTTCATCTGTTCTTGATGATGATGTCTTCTCTCAGATCCAACAACAACAACATGACATTGACCACCTCGTTGCTGAACATACAGCAAAAGTGAGGTTGGAACTTGAAGAAAAAACAAAGAGGCAATCAAGAATATTGATTACAGCAATCCAAGAAGGGGTTTTGAAAAAACTAAAGGAAAAAGATGAAGAGATACAAAGAATGGGGAAACTATACTGGGTCCTTCAAGAAAGGGTTAAAAGTCTATATGAAGAGAACCAACTGTGGAGAGACTTGGCACAAATAAATGAAGCCACGGCCAATTCCCTACGCACCAATTTAGAACAAGTCCTAGCTCATGTTGGTAAGGAACGCCATGTGAGCGGGGAAGGCGCCGCAGTCGCGTTGGCAGATGATGTAGAGTCTAGCTGCGACAGCAGTGACGAAAAGTGGTGCAAGGTGGTGCCACCACAACCACATGGGAGTGGTGCTGCTCAGGTTAAGATGGTGGTAGTTGGGAATAATAACAGAAAGTGTAGAAAGTGTGAGGGAAGTAGAGTGGCTCCTTACACACCTACAACCGAAGCAGATAGTGGGAGTAGTGCACAGACAGCTGCAAAGCTGAAGTCAATATCAGCGATGCCTATTTACAAAGATAAAAGTCATGAGGAGCTGTAATGGGAGGATTATCAATTAGAGGATAAAGGTGGATCAAAGGTAGCTGCTCAACCTTCTGGAGAGACTGACTTTGCTGTGTCAACCACGCCTACTAGTCCTTTTGACTCTTCTTTAACATTCAGTCAAACGTCTGCAAATCCATTTTCCAGCAGCATAAGTATCACTCCATTTAGCCTAAAACCGCCATCCTTTAATAGTACAGGTTGTACAAGTTCGACTACTACATCAAATCCTTTTCAATCAACATCATCAAGCTTTTTTAGCCTAACTTCGTCCATAACTTTGGTATTTAGTTCATCTGTAACTCCTACATTTAGAACCGGTACATTTCTTTTTAGTTCATCTGTTACTCCTTCATTTTCAACTTTGCCATCCATTTTTGATACTGGTGGAGCTCCGATAACAATTTCAGCATTTGCTACTGGTTTAAATTTCACTTTCGTTTTTTATTTTCATTTTTATTTTTTTATTTCTTTTAAATAAAATTCAAAAAAAATATTTTTGAGGAAAACTTAAAAGTATCAATTTTTCTTAAAAATAAATTTTCAAAAAAGGTTTTTGAGAAAAAGTTGAAAGTATCAATTTTTCTTAAAAATAAATTTTCAAAAAAAAAAGTTTTTGAGGAAAAGTTGAAAGTATCAATTTTCTTCGAAAATCAAAGTTTTCAAAAAATATTTTTGGCAAAAAGTTGAAAGTATCAATTTTTCTTAAAAATAAATTTTCAAAAAAAGTTTTTTTGAGGAAAAGTTGAAAGTATCAATTTTTCTTAAAAATAAATTTTCAAAAAAATATTTTTGAGGAAAAGTTGAAAGTATCAATTTTTCTTAAAAATAAATTTTTAAAAAAATAAATTTTTGAGGAAAAGTTGAAAGTATCAATTTTTCTCAAAATTAAAGTTTTCAAAAAATATTTTTGAGAAAAAGTTGAAAGTATCAATTTTCTTCGAAATTAAAGTTTTCAAAAAATATTTTTGGAAAAAAATTAAAAGTATCAATTTTCCTTAAAGATAAATTTTCAAAGGGATTTTTGAGGAAAAGTTGAAAGTATCAATTTTCCTTAAAGACAAATTTTCAAAGGGATTTTTGAGGAAAAATTAAAAGTATCAATTTTTCTCGAAATTAAAGTTTAGGAAAAGTTGAAAGTATCAATTTTTCCTACACAAAAACAATCCGACTGGAGCCTCTATAAGTGAAACAGTAGTTTTCTTACATACTCTTGAGGTGAGGAAATTTTTTCAATTTTTTGCTAAAAGTATTAGAGTCAATTGAGAATAATTTTCAATAATTAATTACTTGGTAAAATTTTAAGGCTAATTGGATAACACAAATTTAAGCCGGTACCATCTTTTAATGGGCATTGTGAGGGTGCTATAACCTTCCTCACATGTAATCGAACTCCCGAACCCTGTTCTAGTTAGTAGACCTGAACCTATTCTTTTAGGAACTCTTAAACTTATGTGTTCCCTGAAAGGACAGATTCTTTAGGTGGCCAATCGCACCTAGATAAAAAAGATTGGTGGTGACCCCCTAAAAGTCAATGTCTAGCGATAGATCCCGGATCTAGACATTATGACAGCTTGGCGACTTCACTAGGGACTTTGAGAGTTAGGCCAGCAAATAATTTGTGTTATCCAAAAGCCTAATAAAATTGAACCTTTTTGTATATATGTATTATTATTCATTCATGTTTATTTACTTTGTTAATTATGTCATTCATGTGCATGTGCATGACATGAGCTCTATACCCGAGCTCCTCCCTCTAGGAGGGAGTAAAGTACCTATGCTTTCGTAGGGTATAATGCCTCCGCAGTGGCTAGCGAAATACTCCCATTCAAATTGAATCTTTTTCGCTTGTAGCATGTAATGGGTGAGGATTAGGGTACCTTACTAGTCTGTGATGGATAATGATATAAGGAGCAATTTGGAAACCTTTAGACTTTGACCTTAAATCACATATAGTGAACCTTAAGAGTCCTAAACCTAAGATAGAGCCCTTTCTACCCAATGATAGATATACCATGAAATTAAGACACAAAAAAGGTGTTTATCTAATCATTTTAATTGTTTAACTTGATGCATCATTTTCATTATCATATGTAACATTATGCATCAGCATCACTTTCATTTCATCCATGGAACTAACTATGTTGTTTGTCTGATTGTATGCATTTGCATTACTTTCATGATCATGTTTTAACACAATCATTTGCATCCATTTCATATTAGATTTCATTTAGGAAAATATACATTTCATTCATGCATCAAAGCATCATACATAAAGCATAGCATAGTATTTTTAATCATAATTATGGTGCTAAAGGTTCAAGGATAGCTCCACCAAGCAACTCCACTCACCAATACAACATAAGAGCTCGAGCCAGGCAAATGAAACAAGAAAATTCCAATTATTTTGAGAGATTAGAGAAAGCTCAAAAGAAGTTAGAAGAAGAGTTAAATAAGATATTAGAGGCTTTGAACAAGCTAACTAAAGGGAAGGCAATAGAGGAGAATGCTAGCCAATAAAAAAAAGATGACCCATTGTGCCCTCTTGGTTTCGAGGCACATCAAGCCTAATCTACACAAGGTTTACCACCACAGCGATTCACCTATCTTGTAAGGTACACATATCCTAGAATGTCATCAGCTTCAAATCAAAGACAATTCTTATCTTTACTGAAAAGGTAGTAGAACCAATATTAGTCCCTAATTTGGATGATCTAGAAGAAAAGTTAAGGCCTAAGGAGAAGAGGGCTTTAGAAGCCTTAAAAGCTGAATAAAAGATGAACATGTTAGAGAAAACGCTACGAGCAGTTGAGGGAGTTAGTTTTTATAGCTCAGTTGATGCTGCTGGGCCCTGTTTAGTTCCTGATATGGTTAATCGTCCAAAATTCAAGGTGCTGAAGTTCGAGAAATATGATGGTACAAAGTGTCCAAAAATTCACATTACTATGTATTGTCGAAAAATGACTGCCCATGCCAATAATGAAAAGCTCTTGATGCATGCATTCTAAGACAGCCTCACTGGCTCTACTGCTAGGTGGTATGTCCAGTTAAACAAGAATCGTATTGGTTCTTGGAGTGATATGGCTTATACTTTCATTAGTCGATACCAGCATATAATAGACTTGGCCCTTGATCATCTTTCTTTACAGAATATGAATAAGAAAGCAACTGAATCATTCAAAGAATATGTTCAACGATGGAGGGATATTGCTTCTCAAGTGCAACCTCCTTTGACTGAAAAGGAGACCACTGTATTGTTTGTCAGTACTTTGAAATCTCTCTATTATGAAGAGATGATAGGGAATGCCACAAAGAATTTTATTGACATGGTGATCTCAAGCGAAATCATTAAGAATGGCAAGCTGAAAGGAGAAGAAACCAAGAAGACACCCAAGAAGAAAGAGATTAAAGCTCAAGTTGTAGGCTTTGACAAATAGTTCAGGGGATATCAACCCTATCTACCCTCAGATTACTCTTCATACTATCCTACTATGAACAATGCTTCATCTTATCCATACCAACTAGCCTCCACAACCACTTAATTCATCCATATACCAGCCCATTTTTATCTCCCAAGCTCCCATATACAGCCTTAACAGTCAAACTCCTGCAAGACCCTAAATTCATCCTATTAGCCTGAAAAGTGATTCACGAAAGCAATGGACTATAATAGCCACCTGATTACCCCCAAGCCATGTGGACCCACTTAAATCACCTCATCCTAAGTGGTATGATCCTCAGCTCATTATGACTACCACTATAGAATTGCTGGCCATTGCACTAAAAATTACACTACTCTAAAGCATTGTTATTAATGATAACAATAATTTTGAGATTTAATTTTGAGAACTCATCCACATTAATATGAGAAGATGATTTGAGCAAAAAGTAAACTGTTACTGGAAGTGAAATAGAGATATCTCGAAGATGTGTAATCTTTTATACAAGTTCATAAGCTTTGTTCAATAGATGATGTTCAAGAAAGGCATTCACAATTGAGATGAAAAATGGCCATCTTTCTTTTACCATTCAAAAAATCATTTATTGTTACCCTTTTGAGCCGATTATGATTTTTTTTAAAAAACCCTAACCAAGGATCACCCTCTACACTGAGGGGTAATTTTTGAAAAAAAAATCACAAAATGTCTCAAAAATGTAAAAATAAATAAATAAATAAATGCCACACATGACTTGAGGCAAAATAATGAGAATCTTTTGTGTGGAAAAAAAAGTAGAGAAATGATGTGGGGGCAAAATGCCAAGTTACATCAAATGATCCTTCGATCTTGAACCTTTTTAATATATGTTTTGAGCCTATTATATCCATTTCTTTTATGACCCCTCACATTGACCTACATTACAACCTTGAAAAGCCCATTTGGATCAAGTGTGAATGCTTAACTTGAATGATCATATGTTGAGCGAAAGTATACTCATGATGAAATAATGGAACCATGCTACATTGCTCTAAAGTTGGATGTATGGAAGATATCAACAATGGATGAAAAATGAGAAAAAAAGATGATGAAAAAAAATAGAAAAAAAATGAGAAAAAAAGAAGAAAAATTTTGAGAAAATGAAAAAAAAGATATTCAAATTGAAAACCTGAAAGGGTGATTTTGGTAGGAAAAGATCCAGGTCAAATGGTTCACATGGATGGAAGATCACAGACATCTGAAGACCCCTCAAAGACTGAGGCAAAGTTCGCCAAGTTCAAAATGACTCCAACAGTAAATGGAATGAGTTTTTGAAAAAAAATCCTAGATTAATGTTGAGAATTGTCTGGATATTCATCGTTTGGACATACCATTCATCCCAATGATATGTATCCAATTTATTTCCTTTCCCATTTGTTTTGTACCAAAATAGATCTTCATTGATTATTTTTACTATAATTCACCTTGTATTCTCTTATTGTTACACCTCTAGAATAAATTGAGAAAATGCTTGATTGCATTATATTTGTCAAGATTTGAAATGATAATGAATGAATGAATG